ATACTTGGCGGCGAAGAGAGCAGCTGTGGGGTACAATTGATACCCAGAGGTAGGTTCATTGTTGCTCCCATCAATTTCCCCAACCATAACAAAAACAACCACGAGCCTCGCGACATTTAATGGCGTTTGAATTCTCTCGCTCGTACAACTACGAGTAAGCTGCATCCCCGATCCGGAATACGTACGCGCAGGAGATCTTTTTCCGATCCGCGAGATAGAGGGATACAACTTGGTTGCTCGAGCCAGAATCGGACGATCTGTTCGGTACACATGACAACAACCAAACGTCTTAAAATTGTTAGAAACCAAACAGAAAATTTAGGGTTACCGATCTGGCTAAGTCGCGGACTAGGTCGCTCTCTTTAAAACGTTCACGGCACTGCCTCGTATTGTGCACAACAGACTATCAGCCGGTCGCCTCTAGGATAAAACAGCCATTCTGATTTGTTGCTCATCGGGTTTGTGCGGAGCTCTATAAATTCACTCTCTCTCGTGTTTCTGCTCTTCTGAGGTCTGTTTAGAGGGTTTGGGGCGTCTCCTACTTATAGGATAAATTCACTCTATCAGTCGGTCGCCTCTAGGATAAAACAGCCATTCTGATTTGTTGCTCATCGGGTTTGAGCGAAAAAACCGGAGCTCTATAAATTCACTCTCTCTCGTGTTTCTGCTCTTCTGAGGTCTTTTTAGAGGGTTTGGGGCGTCTCCTACTTATAGGAGCAGAAAACCCATAATATTCCCTCTTTCTTTGGGAATAAGTCACATTTTAATTAGGGAGATAATTACTCCCATAATTAAAATATAATCTATTAAGATAATTATTCCTAATTATCTCCATAATATTCCTTTTATTAATTATCCATATGAATTTCGTATTATGGGAAAATACTGGATAATTAATTAGGAATTTCATTATAGCTTTTCAAAGCTATTCATTCCAACAATTACTTGTTGAGCAACTACATCATTATTCCTATACTCGAGAGATGTTCACAGGATAGGTTCATCTTTGGCAGGCGCATCTCAATCTTGGTAGTTGACATCGAATATATGCACTTATCTGGTAACACCTATGGCCAAAGAAGGAACGGGGCAAGTTAGATTACAAGTGAAGCTAAGGCAAGTATCGCTCTATAATACATCTCATAATGGGGAACCATATGAAATAATCGAAATGCTGCCTATGAAAAATAAAATATACTACCCTTGACTAAAATAAAGTGTATCTAAGTAAGAGAAAGTTATCATACTTTGGCAAATAGTCAGGGTTGAAGTTGGTACCTCTCCTCGCCAGGAACATCAATTGTCACACTGAGCTGAAATATCACAGTAAAATTAATTGCAGCACATTAGCAAATTATGCCAAAATCTATGAGCAACTAATAGAGGATTAATCAATAAGTAATGCACGATTGAAAAGAAATGTAAGAACTTCTAACATACAATTTGATCACCGAAATCGACAGTGACATTCCCTTATGGGATTTTCTTGGCAAAAATTGTTACAACTTACTCAGCCTTCTGGTAGAATTCATGCTTGTTCAACAACCACTAGCCATCTTGAGAGAACAAAGAGTAGAATGTTTGCAGAAAACAGTGACTAATGAAAAACAAAATTTCTGTTTCGGGCTTTACTCAGTTAATTATATGTACAAAGTATAACAATATAATGCACATGGATATTTCTTCCTCTTATATGCTCGACAATTCGGAAAATAAAAAATTGATATATACCTAACTAGCATACACCTTCGAGGATGTGCGTTACATATTCCTTCATATTCAACATACTCACAAGATACATTGTTTTAAGGTATTATTGCATATGTTAATGTTACGTCATTCTTCTAAGGATCCATAAGCAAGCAATTCAACTTACATACGAATTCAAAAATGCTAATTATATAACATATCCTAACGTACCTTAATAACTTGTAATAGGGCATGAATAAAATTCACTACTTACCTATACTTCGGCTTAGAGGGGGCGGATTATTTGGTGTTACAGACTGGCTAAGCTCATTAGATTCATCTTAGGTAAAGGCCATATATACAAATATACAATAAATAAACTTTGTATTAGGGGTTTCGGGCGAAGGAAGAATCTAGATGAATATATTTGAGACTAAAACATACTCGCTATACTATGATTGCAATCTTCGATCAACTTGGTAAATCTCTGATCTCCTTAATCCAATGTAGCACCAATCTCAAGTGTTGCCTTTGCTGTTTGATATTCCTCAAGCTTAATGCAGGTCGTGCGACATCATAAAGCAACCAATAAGACTGATAATATTCCACCCTAAATGAGAAGTTCAATCCAGGACGCAGCGAGGCAATTTGATGGGGAAAAAAGAAAACTTCACGACATAAACAAGTCTATTAGCTCCTACCCTTTACGCAAATATGCCTTCACCATTGAAGGATCCAACTGAATCGCCCTATTTGCATCAACAACAGCCTCTGTCAAAACTAGAGAACAATTCAATAAATTCCTTGAGAACTCCAACTCACACCAAGTTCCTAGTGTCCACGATACAGCCTCAAAACCTACACTCTAGTTGTATCTATATAAGGGAAAATAGAAAATTACAGTAATCAAGCTCCAATACCGATGAAGAGACCGAGCTTGATGTTGGCCTGGACCTTGTCGGCAAAGTAATTTGGGTTGTTAGGGTTCAAGTCGATGGTTTTTTAGTACAAATCAACTGCCTGCTTGAAGTCGTCGTCGAAGAACGCTTCCTTCGCCTTCTCCGCTATTTCGGTCGCCATTGTTCAACTGCTCAAACGTTGTTCTTTCACCTTCTGTCAACAAGATGTGTGTGCAGGGTAGAAAAAAGAAGGGATTTGTTGGAAGCAAATTGGTCGTTTCCTCTGCGGATTTTGGACTTCTAGAGACTTCTACTTGAGCAACGGAGACGACGAGGATGATGCAGAAAAGGTTAGGATCTCCAGGTTTGGTTGGGATCAGTCCAGGCCCTCCCAATCCTAATTAAATCAAGATTGGTTCTCACTTTTTGAATTGGCTAGCTTATATGGGCCAACTTCTTAAACGGGCTTTCAATAGTGAGGATTGATTTGAACTCCCTATCCCGACTTCCAGAGTCCAGGCACCCCGCAATTCTAGTTTCTGAGTCGGGACTCCGAACTGAACTGTAGTGATGGAAATGGGTCAATGCACATGCCTCGCTCTACGCTAATGAGGAGCGGGAGGGTAAAATCCATGCGGTTATGCGGCAGGACAGATCGAGTGAACAGATCCGAAACTTCTCGCCAAGCTAACACGATTCAACCGCCTACGTCGCAATTCCAGTTTCTGAGTCATAGATGCACCTGGTGACATAGAACTTTAATCGGATCATGATGTGCCGATCCGTGGCGTGTCTGTGGCCGACCACGCTGTCGAGTCATAGCATTACACGTGAACAAGACTGAATCACATTAATCATTATGTAAACAATTATCTCAGTATGTACTCATATCTTCTTGTATAATATGGTGCCAAGTGTGATCGCAATGCGTTAGGCTCCTCTCCTACCTCGTGGCCATGGAGATGTTATGTTATCTGATATGATCTCAGTTTGGCCATTAAAACGACTTGAATTGATCGATCACGAAGGCAAGCTAGGCACGTTGAAGAACCTTGATTTTTGTCTAAGTGTTTATGATGATTTCAGGTACCCTTTTTGGACAAACATAACTCTTGATTTGTGTGATGGAAATTCAAGCTCTTTGGCCTATGTGGAAGAAGAAGAGCTGCTCTTTCGAATGGTATGCTTTGGAGCTCAAGGGGAGAACAAAAGCTGGGTTTTCAGAGTGATCAACATGCTAGCTCAACCCTAGGAAAAACTATAAGATTTGGCTAAGTATGGATATGTGAGCGAGGAGTCATCTTTGGACCTCTCGTTGAGGAGCAGGAAGGAGAGTCGAGATTCCTGGGTTGGTATTCATGAAAGTACGTACCTCCTTCTACAACGGCGTGGGATTGGATGATGGGTTTGATCCCTGGAAGTGATCGATTGAGAGGCTACAAGTTCGTATCGACACTCGTTAGAGGAGGAGCAATCCAAATCCGAGACGGATTAGGATTCTAGCTGCTGTTTGTTTTAATTTCCTTTTCTAGTTAGAATTTGTGTTTATTTGAGTTATATCCTGTTTAGGAAGATCTTTACTTGAGTTGCAAGATTAGTTAGCCTATTTAAACATTCGTCTACAATGTAATCGTCAGTCTTTTATCCATTGAATACAAAGTTGAGCTTTGACTCATCTCGCAAGTTTGCTTGAGGAATTGAGTTGGATTGCTTGGAGGATTCTAAGCAATCGTGAGCTTGTATCGATGAGTTCACCACCCTGATCGTGGCCAAGCATCGACCTAAAGGTTTCGAGCCTCTTTCCCTTGTGAAAGTTGCACGAAAACTCACCATCTAAACCGCAAAACCAACTCTGTTTTGTGGGTTCTTGTTCGAGACAAACAATCCGAGGTTCTAGACCTCTTGGCTGCGTGACTTTGATCAGAAACTCTACCTTGGGTTTTATCATTATCCCTAGCTCTTTCACTCGCATTCTTCATTTTTCATATTGGATCCATGTGTCTTTTGTAAATTGTGATCGAAACAAGAAGGCTGATTGGGTTGATATGCTTGTCTCAATCTTCAGCCTCTTGATTGAGTATTCTTTTGACAAAAGAAAAAAAAACAGAAAGAATAGTTGAGGTCTTATGTGGACTGCGACTGTTCGAACACATAAGCTATTGTTATATCAATTCCAACCCTACAAGGTAGAACCGGAGAAGCTCTCAAAAAGAAGTTATAAACTTAGTCAAGTTGTGAATTTTCCAATATATTCACAAAATAGAAAAAGAAACAGGAAAAGGAAATCTAGGAGAGAGCTCACAAAACAGCTATAAAACAAGAATCAGGGATATGAAATTTCTAGTACTCCCACTTCTTCATCTCCATGCCGTCAGGTGCGCTGCCTTCTACCTTTTTGGCACCCACGTCTTTCTAGTTTGTTGACAACATTGTCCCATTTGACTCCACCTGTTGCAGTTTCATCACAATTAGAAGAGATTTATGTCGGCTAACCATCGCACATGGAAGTTGAGATTACAAAGCATGTTAATCCTTGAACTTACTAAATATTTGCTCATAGCCCTTCTCATGTCCTCATCATCATTCCCGTAGATCTCGCTGGAAAACTTGTCCAATGCAGCATCACCATCTAGCTTCTCATCTTTCTCCTATAAAAATCCAAACATTATTATCGTTCCATCAAGACATGTTGACTGAAAGTTCAGGAAAGTTGTCATATACAAGTATATAATGCATTTGTATCGACCCAGTCATCTACTTACTTCCTTCTTAACTAGTGCTTCCAACTTATCCCAATCTTTGTCTCGAGACTTTAATGATGGGTATGCCGGCCTCTGAGAGATAACTACATATGCAGAACAAACAAGCAAACAACATCTATTAATAAAAATTTGCTTTCAGATATGTCATTTGTCACCTAAACAATGAAGGAAGTGAATAGAGGATATGAGGGAGTCAAAAATACAGTTTATTACTTGAAGATGCATTTACTTGCTGCGCAACTACATTATTATTCCTATACTCAAGAGATGTTCACAGAATAGGTTCATCTTTGGCAGGCGCATCTCAATCTTGGTAGTTGACACCTGATTTTTGCACTTATCTAGTAACACCTATTGCCAAAGAAGGAACGAGGCAAGTTAGATTACAAGTGAAGCTAAGGCAAGTACGCTGTACAATACATCTCATAATGGGGAACCATATGAAATAATCGAAATGCTGCATATGAAAAATAATCTATACTACCCTTGACTGAAAATAAGTGTATCTAAGTAAGAGAAAGTTATCATACTTTGGCAAATAGTCAGGGGTGAAGTTGGTACCTCTCCTCGCCAGGAACATCAATTTTCATACTGACCTGCAATATCACTGAAAAATTAAGTGCAGTACATTAGCAAATTGTGCCAAAATCTATGAGCAACTAATAGAGGATTAAGTAATTAATAATGTATGATTGAAAAGAAATGTAAGAACTTCTAACATACAATTTGATCACCAAAATCGACAGTGACATTCCCTGATGGGATTTTCTTGGAAAAAATTGTTACAACAACTTCCTTAGCGTTCTGGTAGAATTCATGCCAGTTCAATAACCACTACCATCTTGAGAGAACAAAAAATAGAATGTTTGCAGAAAACAGTGACTAATGAAAAACACAATTTCTCTTTCGGCCTTTACTCAGTTAATTATATGTACAAAGTATAACAATATAATGCAAATGGATATGTCTACCTCTTATATGCTCGAAAATTCGGAAAATAAAAGATTGATATATACCTAACTAGCATACACCTTCGAGAATATGCTTTACATATTCCTTCACATTCAACATACTCACAAGATACATTGTTTTAAGGTATTATTGCATATGTTACTATTACGGCATTCTTCTGAGGATCCGTAAGCAAGCAATTCAACTTACATACGAATTCAAAAATGCTAATTATATAACATATCCTAACGTACCTTAATAACTTTGAATAGGGCATGAAAAAAATTCACTACTTACCTATACTTCGGTTTAGAGGGGATTGCATTCACCTGAGGTGAAGCAGTAGAAGCGGATGCTGATGCACCACTTGTTGGGGCGGATTATTTGGTGTTACAGAGTGGCTAAGCTCATTAGATTCATCTTAGGTAAAGGCCAAACATACAAAATTACCATAAATAAGCATTATATTAGGGGTTTCGGGCGAACGAAGAATCTAGATGAACATATTTGAGACTAAAAAATACACGCTATACTTTGATTGCACTCTTCAATCACCTTGGTAAATCTCTGATCTCCTTAATCCAAGGTAGCACCAATCTCAAGTGTTGCCTTTGCTGTTTGATATTCCTTAAGCTTAATGCAGGTCGTGCTGCATCATAAAGCAACCAATAAGACTGATAATATTCCACCTTGAATGAGGAGTTCAATCCAAGACGCAGCGAGGCAATTTGATGGGGAAAAAATAATATTCCTACCCTTTACACAAATATGCCTTCACAATTGAAGGATCCAACTGAATCGACCTATTTGCATCAACAACAGCCTTTGCCAAAACTAGAGAACAATTCCATAAATTCCTTGAGAACTCTAACTCACACCAAGTTCCTAGTGTCCATGATACAGCCTCAAAACCTACACTCTAGTTGTATCTATATAAGAGAAAATAGAAAATTACAGTAATCAAGCTCCAGAACCAGTGAAGAGACCGAGCTTGCTGTTGGCCTAGGCCTTGTCGGCGAAGTAATTCGGGTTGTTAGGGTTCAAGTCGATGGCTTTTGAGTACAAACAACTGCCTGCTTGAAGTCGTCATCGAAGAACGCTTCCTTCGCCTTCTCCGCTAGTTCGGTCGCCATTGTTCAATTGCTCAAACGCTGTTCTTTCACCTTCTGTCAACAAGATGTGCGTGCAGGGTAGAAAATATAAGGGATTAGTTGGAAGCAAAATGGTCGTTTCCTCTGCGGATTTTGGACTTCTAGAGACTTCTACTTGAGATACGGAGACGACGAGGATGATGTAGGAAAGGTTAGGATCTCCAGGTTTGGTTGGGTTCAGTCCAGGCTCGCCTAATCCTAATTAAATCAAGACTGGTTCTCACTTTTTGCATGGGCTAGCTTATATGGGCCAACTTCTTAAATGGGCTTTCAATAGTGAGTCTTGATTTGGAACGAGTGATGAATAATGTTTTCCTTTTTTTATTCTTTGATGATATGTTTCCAAAATTACATCATTTTGGACCAATTAGCACATTTTTATGAGATGATCAAAATCGTATAAAAACGCTAGAGAATCGCGATTTTATCGATTTTAAGCGATTTTACCGATTTTACCCATGTTTTTACCAGTTTTTGTGACTAAGCAACTTTAGGTAGAAACTGAAGCGTTTTGGTGGCCTGGATACGTAAAAACGTAAGTTTTTACGTTTTAGTGCGCGATTTTGACTGCACTGATTTGAACTCCCTGTCCGTACTTCCGGAGTCCAGGCACCCCGCAATTCTAGTTTTTTAGTCGGAATCCGAACTGAACTGTAGTGATGGCAATGAGTCAATGCGCATGCCTCGCTCCACGCTACTGCGGAGCGGGTGAGTAAAATCTGCATGGGTATGCGGCGGGACGGATCAAGTGAACAGATCCGAAACTTCTCGCCAAGCTAACACGATTCAACTGCCTACGTCGCAATTCCAGTTTCTGAGTCATAGATGCACCTGGTGACATGGAACTTTAATCGGATCATGATATGCCGATCCGCGACGTGTCTGTGGCCGACCACGCCGTCAAGTCACAACATTACACGTGAACAAGATTGAATCACATTAATCATTACGCAAATAATTATCTCATTATGTACTCAAATCTTCTTGTATAATATGTTGCCAAGTGTGATCACAATGATGGTTTTATGTTATTATTAGAGTGTAAATCGCCAATTATGAGTCCGTAGAGGAGGATAGGGGAAAATTTCAGGCTAAAAACACGCGGTTATGCGTAGAGTTGGCAATTTCAACACACCCCGCGGGTATTACCCGACCTGATGCGCGATGGAGCGGGTATTACCTGACCATATTAGCGTGGGGGCGAGGCATGGGTATCTACTTCCGCCCTGCCCACCTCGTTCTAAACCCATTTTATCTCCATTTCTTTTAGTATCTATACATATTTCTCCTAGTTTGACTTTTCTTCAACTAGTTAGAGTCGATATTTCAACTTGTCACTCAATTACTCATTCTATTATCACTATCTTTAATTCATAAAGTGTTTTCCCTTCATTTTATCGTAAAACGTAAAATTTGCGTGTATTTTTTTCAAATAATATGTAAGGGTGTGTCAACCCGCCCCACCCCGACCCGTACCCGCGCGAGTTTTACCTGACCCACCCCGTAGTAACGTGGAGCGGGGCATGAGAATTGAGATATCCGCCCCGCTCCATTGCCATCACTAGTTATGCCACAGAACCAAGCTAGTACTTGTTGGTGGAGATGGATTTATACTACGAACATTACATAATACTTGAACTTCTGGACTCATTATATTAAGTTCATTGCAAATTGTTGAACCCAATCTGGAGGAAACGATAAGTAATGTTGGTTTTATGTACATAAAGTAAAACATTGTGATTCAAAAGATAATTTATTGGTCGTGATCCGTGACTTAATTATCTTTGACAATGCAGCAGGAGTGAAATCTGTTCCAAATAATGCTTTTAAGTAGGGCTGGCTATTTGGACCGGGACCGGATGGAAAAACTGGAAACCGGACCGTATAACCCGGACCGAGACCGGACCGGGACCGGATAGTAAACAATCCAATCCAATCTTTGGGCTTAGATTTGAGGTAAAAAACCGGATAAAGACCGGATAAGAGAGCTCAACACCCAAAACTTAAGGGTAATTTGCATAAACGGTCACAAACCTTTGCACTTAGTACAAAACTTAACCAACTCTTCACCCTTTTAGGCCTTAGGCCACTCAAATTCCCACAATCTCAATATAAAATCAAGAACGAATTGGGACCGGACCGGATCAAGACCGGATTGTATCCAATCCAATCTTCGGTCCTTATATTTTCAAAAAAAAACGGACTGGACCGGATCAATTTGGGCCAATTTAACCGGACCGGACCGTATAGCCACCCCTACTTTTAAGCATCAGGTGAGAATGTAAGGGCTACTTTTCATTATAGGAAGCCAGGTTCAGGAGATGTTGCCAATTGATAAATACCAGCATCTAGGAAATGACAAAAAAATGACTGAAAAGAGATTGGAGGAAACGAAAATGTTAGTTAAACCACAAATTTAAATGAAAAATGTTATTTATCTTTGATAATTACCGGTGTTTACCCTTGTCTTTTGAATCTCCAAAGTTGGATACTTTTTGTGACTGCTATTGTCCGATCATTTCGGGTAATCAGGAAAAAAAAAAAGAAATGGACCTATACCAAAAATGGCTATCCATTCCTCTTCTTGTCAAATGTGAATGTTCATCCCCTCCTTCATTAAAACTTTTTCCGGAAATAAAAGATCATTTTGGTTCATCGAAAACTTCTAAAACAAAAGAAAAAACCCCAATTCACCATTCCCATTCTTTCTTCTTATGGTGAAAGAATGGACTTGATGATCTGGGTCTGAGCGAAAAGGTCATAAATTTGATTGCTTTTTCTTTCTGGGTTTTGTTGGTTTTGGTTCAATTAGCTGAATCCAGGAGGAAAAAGTAAAGACGAAGAGAGAAATTATGGGTGATGATTATTACAACATATTGAAGGTGGACAAGAGTGCATCAGAGGATGATCTGAAGAAATCTTATAGAAAATTGGCTATGAAATGGCACCCTGACAAGAACCCCAACAACAAGAAGGAAGCTGAAGCCAAATTCAAACAGATCTCTGAAGCTTATGATGTGAGTAAATGAAACCCCAAAACTCAGTAAACCAAAAATATGATTTCTTTCTTATTGATTCTAAGAATATGTTTGCTTGCTTTTTTGCTTCTTTTCTGCAGGTGCTAAGCGACCCACAAAAGAGGGCGATATACGACCAATATGGAGAAGAAGGGCTGAATGACATCCCACCAACCGGATATGGAAATGGTTCGAATGGGCCAAATTCGAGGAATGCAGAAGACATATTTGCAGAGTTCTTCGGGAGCAGCCCGTTCGGGTTTGGTGGAGGAGCAACAGGTGGTGTTGGAAGATCATCGTCCAGATTCCAGTCTGAAAGTGGTGCAACAGCAGGAAATGGGATGTTTGACAGCAATAACATGTTCAGAAGCGAAGGAACGACGACTACCAGTACTGCACCTAAGAAGCCTCCTCCTGTAGAAAGCAAATTGCCATGCACTCTAGAGGAGCTCTACTCTGGGTCAACTAGGAAAATGAAGATCTCCAGAACTGTAGTTGACTCCCATGGGTAATTTTTCATTAGTTTGTTTCAATTTGTTTACCTTTGGATAATCATATCAAACTCGTAAGTAGGTACACCATTCAATTCATTATATTGTATTTGTGACAGGAGGCAAGCGCAAGAAACAGAAATACTTACGATAGATGTGAAACCAGGTTGGAAGAAAGGAACGAAGATAACATTTCCAGACAAAGGGAACGAGCAGCCCAACCAGCTGCCAGCAGATTTGGTTTTTGTGATTGACGAGAAACCTCACGACGTGTACAAGAGGGATGGGAATGAGCTAATGATCAACCGCCGGGTCACCCTAGCAGAGGCACTAGGAGGGACCACGGCCAGCATCGACACATTGGATGGTCGGACCCTGTCAGTTCCAGTTACCGACATTATAAGTCCTGGGTACGAGCTTGTCGTGCCCAGGGAAGGGATGCCCATAGCTAAAGAGCCTGGTAATAGGGGAGATTTGAGGATCAAGTTTGAGGTCAAGTTCCCAACCAAGTTGACCACGGAACAGAGGGCAGGGCTAAAGCGTGCTTTAGGGGGTTGAAGCCCACACAAGATGGGAGATTATATATTGTTGTGACTTGTCAAAATGGTGTAATGTAATGTATCATCGATCTATGCATGGTTTTTAGGGTTTGTATGTGTTCGATAATCTTGGCTAGTTGAAGATGTCTATTTAACACAGCTAAAAATGGCCAAATGTTAGGCTCATACACTCACTCCAAAGTTGTTCATATTTCACTTGCCGGATTAAACATGCATGTGATATGATTTTAATCTTCATTTTCCCTTACTTTTGAGTCTGATGCCCATTTAGTCCACCCTTCTCCGGACTGGTTCTCCTAGTCATTTGTTTGAGGATGAGAGAATGTAACTTTTCAGACAACTCCAATAAAATGCAAAAGATTCTTCTATGCTTTCTAAGTTTTTGCACCTTGTGAGGAAACCTCTCTGTAGAGCTATCTATGTGGTTGCTATAACACGATTAGAGAAGTGAGAAACAATGAAAAGAAACGAGCAATATATATTACTACATATATATAAACCTAAAGCACCGTTACTGTTGCCTAAAAAATACCGTTTTGATAACTCAAATTTAATTAAATCACAACTTAGTCATTAGAATTTAAATTTTACATTTTGATATCCCAAATTTAATTTTAGTGTAAAATCACTGAACAATTATGTTTTATTATCTAAGTTTTATGAGATTTTCGTACCTACAATTTTTTACATTTAAATATTGGTTCAATGTTTGTATTTCACTTGAATCCATGATTCCAATCCTTTTGAACCAAATCCCCTTTCATTATAATTCATGGCCACAATTATACATATATGCATCTATCGCGCACTATTCCACCCATAATAATTGAGTGTTTTCTTCTCTTAGTTAGACCCACGACTCTTAGAGCCCTTTTTGCCATACTCACAATCCTAGGAAGAAACATATATACACATATGCATGCATTTATGTTTAGCTACATATACTTGTTAAAAGATCAATTTTCACCCAAAGTTTCACAGTAACCGCACCCATGTCTTACCTATCCCCTACGACTTTAGCTAACAAGTTAACCCATGCATATACTCGTGCAGTCTAAATAAAAAGCATGCAAACTTATGCTGGTTCTATGCATGCATCAGAGATTTCAGAATAGAGTAGTTAAATCCTCTCAACATTATAATCTCTTAGCACCTATGTCACTCTTTCACCGTAAACCTTACAAATTTAACTAGAAAAGGAGATCGCCGCACCTGATATGATCACAATCCCTATGTTAAACCCCTCCCCTTGATGTACTCTCTAAAAGCTATAAAATGGTGATGAGAATGGCGGAAGAGACTTTGCTAAGGGTGGCTTTCATATTATGGAAATGGTATCTCCTTTTCCTTATTTGAGCCTCCAAAAGAGGTGAGAATGGAATCACCACTCTTTCCCAATAAATGATTCTTCTCTGGCTCATCTAGTTTCCGCCACCTAGAGCCCTAGTGGTTGTAAACAATGATTTCTAATTGAGAGGTGGTGGATGTGTTACGAGATCGAGCCATCGTGACATTTTATTATTATTGGGCTTGCGTATCTTTTCTTATTAGTTCGTATTTGGATATTATTGGGTCTTATTTATTATTGTCTTAATTAATGTTTTCCTTGTTCAAGTTGGTTTAGGTTATTGTTAGTCGTGTTCTTAGCGGAGTAGGAGTTATATTCTAGATAGGAAAAGGTAGAGGCTTCTATGCCTATAAATATGTACTTGTTTCGTTCGTTTAATGTCATGAGAAGATTGGGACCCAATTTACGTTTGTTTGCTTTGATTATTTCTTTCGTTCAGTTTAGTAGTTTGTTAGTTATTTTGGGGTTGTTCTCGCCATTAAGGAGATCCTCTACTCGAGAGCGTCGAGAAGCGTATCCAAAAGTCCGGAGAAGTAAAGATCCAGTACGTAGAATTCTGCCCCTACGGCGCATCTACGTAACAGTTGGTATCAGAGCCTGGTTCTCCGGCACTGCAAAACCATGACAATTGAAGATATTCGAGCAAGAGAATTGGTCGCTACGTGGAACCGATATGTGGAGAGGTTTTGTCCCAATCGCATCGACTCCATGAAGTTGCCACCTGTTGAGTTGGAAACCTCTGCTACTGCACCAATCCTCGTCATCGCGCCAGAGCTAACCCTAGCTCCGACGATCTTGACCTCAGTGAAACCAACCACCGGTGAGGAGCTAGCCCTAGTTCACACAGCGCCGCCAGCAACACCACCAAGTTCATCCTCGAGGGCGTCCGCTGTTGTGGATCGAGGCGATCAGGAAGATGCGTCGACAATACCGCTCACCCATGGCCTCGTCGAACCATCGCCAAAAGTAAAGCTAGCCCTAGCTTTCCCTTCTCCGATGCTGGTAGAGCTTGCCCTCTCACGCCACCAGCCAGAGGGATCTATCTTTCCGTCGGCAAGTGAAGATGACGTTGCGACCCGCCCTTATGCAACCGATCTTCTTAAAACGGGAAAGCGCTTCTACCGGAGGAAGAAAAGGAAGAAAAGATCGAGACGTAGTGTTGTTGCCCTTGCTGTGGGTGAACCCACCATCAAGCTATCGCCGCCGCAAGCTCTAGCTGAGGAGGTGAAAAGTGGGGACGAAGAAGAAGTTGTTGTCCTTGATCTCGCACCGTCTCCACAACCATCGTCGTCGGGAGCTCTTGTTCCACTAGGCCGCGCCGCAAGGGAACGTGATGGGGAGGAGTCGCCTTCTTCTGGCGGTGTTGAACCACGGATTGGGCTAGGAAACGAGCAAAGCCCCTTTATTGTCGAGCCTATGTTCTCATTCGCCAACAACGGAATCGAGGGAAGTGATAGTGGATCACAACTCGACGCCGGTAAGCCATTCATCTCGCTCCATGGCCATTGCGTCAATTGGAAGACGCGGAAGAAACGACGGAGCACCGCTACTGTTTCTGCGAGGACTGCAGCAGCCGAGGAAGGTGTGATTTCTATGCTATCATTGTCGAAGCAACTAGAAGCCGCCACTGTTGAGAAGCTTCTTATTTCCAAGCCGTCGCAGTCGTTGTTGAGTTTTCAGGAAGCCCCGCCTGCCACGGTCATTACTGCAACTAATATTACTGGTACAAGTTCGTTTGAGAAGCTTCAACCCAATTGGAAGTATAGGAAAAGGCGCGGAGAAGACCACGGAGTTGCGAGAAGCCGAGGCTTGGTCCAAGGATGCATTGGGCCGACTATGGGCGGATTAATTGGAGCTTTATTGTATGGTGTTAATCCGTTAAGTTCTGAATTTGATTCTCTGGGTGGAGGGACGGCCAATGCTCCCTTCGATAGCTTCAAGTACGGCGTAAAGATGAACGTAACAACTGAAAGGAAACCAACCGTCGATGTTGGCGTGAAGAGGTTTAAGCAACCGATGTCCAAAGACAATAATGCCAACGAAGTTCTTCATATGTGGAGGGATATTAATGCCCAGTGTGGGAAGCACGTACAAGAAAGCATGGAAATTGAAGGGAGAGGTGCACGTGGCATGCTAGTTCTTTGCATAAAAAGAGCTTGTAACATTTATGCCATGGGAGTTCCGTTCCAATGCTTCGATCCGGGTATAGAAACATTCGGAAGGCTTGGATTTGCTAGCGTGGGAGGAATGGATTGGATATTGAAGCTGAATTGGAAATATCGAAGGCGCAATTGCCGTCCAACTTTCGTTATCTTCTATCGCAAGGGTAGAGGGAGCTTCTTTTACATCGATCCAGGTTGAAGCAAGTATGAACATTTTACCAACCTTGAGGGCAAGGTCGCGCTTAAGGGGGGAGGGATGTTACGAGATCGAGCCATCGTGACATTTCATTATTATTGGGCTTGCGTATCTTTTCTTATTAGTTCGTATTTGGATATTATTGGGTCTTATTTATTATTGTCTTAATTAATGTTTTCCTTGTTCAAGTTGGTTTAGGTTATTGTTAGTCGTGTTCTTAGCGGAGTAGGAGTTATATTCTAGATAGGAAAAGGTAGAGGCTTCTATGCCTATAAATATGTACTTGTTTCGTTCGTTTAATGTCATGAGAAGATTGGGACCCAATTTACGTTTGTTTGCTTTGATTATTTCTTTCGTTCAGTTTAGTAGTTTGTTAGTTATTTTGGGGTTGTTCTCGCCATTAAGGAGATCCTCTACTCGAGAGCGTCGAGAAGCGTATCCAAAAATCCGGAGAAGTAAAGATCCAGTACGTAGAATTCTGCCCCTACGGCGCATCTACGTAACAGGATGTTTGTGTGCAGAGAAGTGCATGGATGGGAAAATCGAAATGGGACAAGGCCATTAATTTCCCTGGCCGACTCTCTTCTCTAGAAAATCCAGTACCCCTTAGTCAAAGTGAGTTTAAATTTGAGCTACCCCTGCTACTTACAAGAACATGCGACAGGTTTTGAGGGGGACTTTCATATTAGCTATAGAGATCGAATTCTTGAAGTTAAATGAAACACGTACATGATTTAGTTCTCTTCTAATTTCTTTTAATACTCTTTTATACTTTCAATTTGGTTCCCTTCTCGAGCATAACATGTACGTAACACAAGCTTATATGCCAATTTAAGAGTTTCTCTAAGTCATTTCCTATGGTCTTACAAATGAATTTATACACATACATATCGTCACACTTAACATGTCTAGATGAGTTATCTTCTCAACCCAACCACAAAGTAAAACCCTCCGTACTCACTAAGTGAGTACATTTTATTTACTTCAGATTTTGAACCGATAAACGAGGAATTGAGTTTGCCATGAAATTACTTATGAAAAGATAATAACTTTAGCACCGAAAGAACGAGGGTGTTACAACGGGATTCGAAGGCGTGCAATTTTAAGTGAGTTCCAGTTTGTATTCCTTTTGCTTCTCTCTAGAGTTTTTCTCGTTAACCCGAGCTAGAATTTTCAACAATTATACATGGAATTTTCAACAATTATACATATCAAATAAATTGTAAATAATTATAATATTAAATACATCACCATAAAAGGAATTAAGTCTCAACTATGCAAATTACAGTTGGGTACCTAAACTTAATAGATCTTTACATTTATAACCTATATGTTTTTGGTATATAAGTCCTCAAAATATTGATGAAACATTGTATTTTAGTACCTAAAATTTTTGTGTATTACATTTTAGTACTTGAACATTTGAAGTTATACGAATAGGTCTAATTTTTGTACGTGTAATTAAAACACCCTCAAATAAATGGATATCTATACCCAACTCATACACATTTAGATTATGAAATTAAATATCCATACACTACCCAAACCCATCTACAAATTTCCAAACTCATATATACGTCACTCATAGCCTACCAATAATTAATGGGTCTACTTGGGTTTAGGTAAATATCATTTATTAGCCAAAATT